GCCCAAAAAGTCACAAAAGTGAAGAAAATTACTAAGTTCGTCTGCGGGAGCACTGCCGAAACTGGTCTAATTATTCTTACCTATTCACTGCTTAATCTCACAGAAAACGTAAACATTGGATACGAGAAAGTCAAAGTTCGACCATACATCCCCCAGCCAATGCGTTGCCTAAACTGCCTACGTTTTGGACACACAGCCAAATATTGCAAGAACCCATCATAATGCAACATATGCAGCCACACAGCTCATGTCAACACTGACCTTGATGAAGTATGCAAAGAAAACCCAAGTTGCATAAACTGCCTAGAAAAAAATTACCCCAACGCCAATCATCTAGCAAAGGACAGAAAATGCCCAGTCTTTATTACCTACCAGGAAATACAAGCCATAAAAACACTGCAAAAAGTGGACAACCGCCAAGCCTGGTCCATATACAAGACCAGACATCAACACGATGGCTCACTGTATTCTTCAGTGGCCAAACAAAACCAGAACCAAACAGCACAACAGGAAAAGAGCAAAAATCTCCCCGATCCCGCTGAAAAATCAAACTCAGAGCAACCACCATCAAACAAGCGAACACTCCTACAATATGAAGACGACGCTCCTGCAACATAAAATTCGGAACAACCATCATCAAGCAAGCGAACGCTCCTACAATATGAAGATGACGACGCGATGTCCACAAGCTCCCTCAGCTCGGAACAAAACACTACGGCTAAGTCTACCTCAAAAACCATAATATATCCTAAAAAATTATCTAAAAGAGAAAAAAGAATTTTCAAAAACAATAATGAAACCGCAAGTCTAACTAAATATAAGATTAAGTCGTTAATAAACACAGAAGGAATTAACAGCATAACCATTGGAAAGACCTAAACTAATCTCTAAATTAAATAATTAAAATTCATGACACTAAACTAAATGGAATTTAAATGGTTACTTAAATAACTACAACGAACTCCTAATCCTTATAAAGCTACACAATCCAAAAATTATTTCCCTCCAAGAAACCCATATAACACTTACCCAAAATATTCCTATCCCAGTTAACTTTAAAATATATCACACATCGTCCATCTCAGCCAAAGGCGGTGTTGCCTTGCTAATACACAAAGCACGGCACCACAAGCTTATTCCATCAGGAAACATATTTGATGCCATTATCCAATCTAAAACAAAATTTAATATAATCACAGCATACATCCCACCAAATCAAAATTTCACACAAGCAGAACTAGAAACAATGTTCCCAACTACCAACACACCATCGCTAATAACAGGGGATTTCAACAGCTGGAATACGCTGTGGGGATCTCCCCAAGACAATAGAAGAGGGAAATTTCTCGAAAAATTCATTCTGAACAGCAATCTAGTGATTCTCAACAAAGGCGAACCAACACACTTTTCGACACACAGCTCATTTACACACATCGACCTAGCCCTTTGTCCACCTGAACTCAAAATTCACTGTGACGCAAAAATTAGCGACACACTACAGGGCAGCGACCATTTTCCTATCACCATACATATGTTTCCGGAACAAAATAGAAAGCCACAAAAATACCCAACGAAATTTATAACTAAATTGGCAAATTGGGATAAATTCAAACTACTTACAGAAAACATATCCCTTCAATTACCGGTAGCAACGAACATTAACAAAGAAGCAAGCAATATAAATAAAATCATACTCCAGAGTGCCTATAGAAGCATTCCCCAAACACAGCCACCTAAACAGCACCACAACGTACCCTGGTGGAACAAAAAACTGGAATCATTAAAAATAGCCAAAAATGCAGCCTGGAGAAAATTTAACAGAAACATCAACAATGAAAACCTAATAAACTTTAAACGTATAAATGCTCAATATAGAAGGGAAATCAGATCAAGCAAAAAAGACAGTATCAGCAAACTTACATACAGCATTTGCCCAGACACCAAATGTGAAACAATATGGAATAAAATTCGACAATTTTGTGGCTTACATAAAGCAACAGCGGTGCACTGTATTAAAGATCCCGACTCGAACTCTTTCATAACCGATCCCCAGAATATAGCCAATGTCTTTGCCAAGCATTGGTCTATTCGCCCTGAAGACAATAACTTCCCACCCAGCTTCCTACAAGCCAAAAAAGACATACTATTGACTACTGAGAATGACCTTGCACACAAAAACGAAGAATTTATGGAGCACGACATCCAATTACTAGAATTTTTAACAGCTCTTAATAGTATACGAGGAAATACTCCAGGTTATGATAAAATAAACTATGCTATGATAAAACATACCTACATAAATACTAAATATAGATTAATAGACTTTTTTAACAGCATCTTACGATCTCAGATACCTCACATATATAAAATAAGCACCATAATTCCAATCCACAAGCCCGGAAAAGACAAATCACACATCGAATCCTATCGACCTATATCACTCAATCCATGTATCTCAAAAATATTTGATAAAATTATTTCAAAACGACTTTGGTGGTTTGTTACATCAAACAAACTACTTAACAGTCATCAAATGGGCTTTAGAAAAGGGAAATCTGCTACAGACTGTCTACTTTACGTAGATGCCCTAGTTAGCAGAGCACTCTCTGAAAAGAGACACTTATCTCTCATATCATTGGACTTTGAAAAGCATTCGAAAAAGTAGGACTCCACACAATTCTAGACCAATTAAGAAAATTGGGTTGCGGACAGGCAATCTTAAAATATATATCAAACTTTATGACCAACCGCAAAATTCGAGTTCGAATGAACCAAAACCACTCAACAATGCAAAGCTTGCATAATGGTATTCCACAAGGATCACCGCTATCAGTAATTTTGTTCCTAATAGCATTTAACAGCGTAGCGGATATAATCGAAAAACACAAACACCTCAACTTCACAGCCTATGCAGATGACTTCAACATAATTATAGACCTAAAAAAAAAGCAAAAACATAAGACACAACCTAGATCCTGTGTTCACAGAGATCAGAAATTGGTGTGCACGTTCTGAAGCTTCACTATCATTAAACAAATGTAATCATTTACATATATGCAGGAAAAGAAATTGCAATTGCAAAATTGAAATTAGCTCATACGAGATCGAAACATCAAAAGGATCAAGGTTTTAGGATTAGTCATTAACACAAAGTACAAATGGAATTCTCACATCGCAAAACTAAAAAGCTCATTGTCGAATTCGTTAAACGTTATTAAGTGTCTGTCAAGTTATAAGTACAACTGTCACCCATACACACTAGTCCAAATTGTGAAAAGTCTCTGTATAGCTTTTTTTTTTTTTTTTGGCATAACATTAAACAAAATTTTATTAACGTTGATCAACCAACCTAATGGCTATAAAACGTTGGTTATAAATATGAACAAAACAATAACATGGCACTTAACAGAAACTCTGTATAGCAAAAATAGAATATGCATTACCCATATACGGCAAAGCCCCAAACTCATCTTTAAGGCCAATAAAAACATTAATCAACGCGGCATTGCGCTCCGCTCTGGAAGCATTTCCCACAACACCAACCCATAATTTGCATGTGGACACGTCCTACCACTAAGAGAAAGGATTAAAACTTTGACGGCTAAACTATTCCACATACTAATTCACTCAAATGACACCCCACTTGGTCCTATAATAATAAAAATAACAAAAAAGAGCAATTCAAAATATAGAAATTCAACAATACAAGAAAGCATCAACATCTGCAGTAGCTTAGGCCTGACAATTGATCTCACCAAAAAACTACCCAAATCTAAATATACCTTAAAGAATTTCAAGAAATAAAAAACAACCTTAGCAACTTCTCCTTCCTCTACACAGATGGATCGATGTCTAAAGAGATAATAGGATACGCTGTAACTAATGAATCCAGAGTATTAACAATGTGAGTCCTCCCATTCTACTCTTCAGTATACGCAGCCGAAGCAACAGCAATTCTCAACGCTATCCAAATAAGGCTAACGACTAGAGGAAAAATATGTATCTGCACAGACTCACTATCGATTACCGAAGCTTTAAAAAATATTGATAACTCCGAACACATGATCTCCAAAATACGTGGGTTGATAAACAACCACTTCCCAAAAATGAAAATTCTATGGGTACCCAGCCATATAGGTATCCCAGGGAACGAATTCGCTGATGAGACAGCGAAAGCAGCCACAAACTCGCCATTATTAACATCGGAAAACACATATCGACCAGACATTATCAGGCTCCTTAAATCATGCATACCGGAACTACTCCCCTTAACCTCCAACTGGTACCAACACATAAATAAAGAAGGCTTCAACATTGCCAACTACACAAAAAATTCAACATTCACCAATATACCACATATCGAGCAAATAAAAATTATAAGACTACGTCTTGGACATACTAGACTGACTCATTTAAACAAATATGCACAACCACCATCAAACCAATGCCAATTCTGCAATAGCACAGAAGCCACAATCGAACACATCCTAAATCAATGCCCAGCCTTTCAAAATCTGCGAATCCCAACCACAAACTTCCTCCCACTCCTTAGCAACCCAACACCCAACATTAATGAAGTTCTTTCTTTTCTAAAAAAATTAAACTTAGTACATAAATTATAAATTTAAGAAATTAATGAAATAATAAATATTAAAATTACCAATAAGCACTAGAAGTAAAAATGTATAAATCATGAAAATAAAAGTTAAACCCAGCCGAAAGCCACAGCAGCTATGGCTGATACCCATCCTGTAGCTTAATTTAGAATTAAGCATACAGCGTACAAAATAAATAAATAAATAATTCTAAATGAAGCTACAGGATGGATATCAGCCATAGCAGCGATAGACGGAGTTCGAACGGCTAAATAATTTTGTATCTGAATTTATTACTGTCGGAATTAAAATCGTATATTATATTTGGATCTTAATCGAGGATTAATTTTTTTTTTGTAATTATCGCTTTTGATTTATTTTACGATTTGGTTATGCATCACTTACGCTTTCGAGTTACTTGAATTTCATTAAGCTGGTCACATCTTTTTTGAGATAAATTAACGAAATGATTTTGCAGCATAATCCAAAATTGTTGATGCTCTCTGATTTGGAGTTCTCCTGTGTGAATGGATTTTTCAATTTGTTTTATCTATAAAAGAAGAAAACATATGATTTTAATACATGTAGACGTTGATGCATTACGGTCATGACATATGGGCATTTCCATAATGTCGCACGCGACATTCGTACGCATTCAAAGCAAAAAAAAAGTATGGTACATTTCATTTCTATTTTTATACCCTTGCAGGGTATTATAATTTCAGTCAGAAGTTTGCAACGCAGTGAAGGAGACCTTTCCGACCCTATAAAGTATATATATTCTTGATCAGCATCAACAGCCGAGTCGATCTAGCCATGTCCGTCTGTCCGTCTGTCCGTCTGTCCACCTGTCCGTTTCTACGCAAACTAGTCCCTCAGTTTTAAAGCTATCTGAATGAAACTTTGCACATAGTCTATATACTCTCACTGCTATATATGTCGGAACGGGCCGGATCGGACGACTATATCATATAGCTGCCATACAAATGATCGATAAATTTTTAGAAAAAAAATTATAACTTGGATGTTTTTCAACATTTTTGCACCATTATTTAGATATGGCCATTTTATATTATTTCTGAATTTTGGTAAAAATTTCACGACAATCGGACCACTATATCTTATAGCTGCCATAGGAACGATCGGGAAATTAATAGGAAAAAAATTATAACTTCGTTGTTTTTCTACGCATTTTCATCTACTCTGAGATATAAGCTTATTTTATTATTTTAGAATTTTGGTATTAATTTCATAAAAATCGGACAACTATATCATATAGCTGCCATAGAAACGATCGGTAGATGTAGAGAAAATGTAAGGCTGGGAATGTAAAACTGTAACTATCAAACTGTAAAGATAATAAGTATAGGTAAAATGTAATGAAATGATATCTGCAAGGGTATACAAACTTCGGCGTGCCGAAGTTAGCTTCCTTTCTTGTTTTTATAAATGTTAACTTATAGCTCTTGCCTATAATTGGTGCAAATGTTGATTTTGAGTATTTGCTCAAATTTAAAAAAAAACCAAGGGATTCGCACGCGACAAAAACAGAAGTCACTTTTGCGGCGAGCTGTTTAAACACTGATTTCAGCGAAACGGCAGGGATTATTTTAATGAAACTAATTTTAAAGTGTGATGCAGTAATGCCAGTTTCATATGCTTTAATTTACAATCAGAAATATAGCGTAGTTTATTATACCCTTGCAGGGTATTATACCCTTGCAGGGTATATTTCAGTCAGAAGTTTGCAACGCAGTGAAGGAGACGTTTCCGACCCTATAAAGTATATATATTCTTGATCAGCATCAACAGCCGAGTCGATCTAGCCATGTCCGTCTGTCCGTTTCTACGCAAACTAGTCCCTCAGTTTTAAAGCTATCTGAATGAAACTTTGCATATAGTCTTCTGTATACTCTCACTGCTATATATGTCGGAACGGGCCGGATCGGACGACTATATCATATAGCTGCCATACAAATGTTCGATATATTTTTAGAAAAATAATTATAACTTTGCTGTTTTTAAACGTTTTTGCACCATTTTTTACATATGGCCATTTTATTTTATTTCAGAATTTTATGAAAATCGGACGACTATATGATATAGCTGCCATAGGAACGATCGGGAAATGAATAGGAAAAAAAATTATAACTTCGTTGTTTTTCAACGTATTTTCATCTACTCTGAGATATAAGCTTATTTTATTCTAGAATTTTGGTATAAATTTAATAAAAATCGGACAACTATATCATATAGCTGCCATAGAAACGATCGGTAGATGTAGAGAAAATGTAAAGCTGGGAATGCAAAACTGTAACTGTCAAAACTGTAACTGTTAACATAATAAAATAGGTAAAATGTAATGAAATAATATCTGCAAGGGTATACAAACTTCGGCGTGCCGAAGTTAGCTACCTTTCTTGTTTTTTATTTAATTTTAATCAGATTCGCACGTGACATTTTTTATCATCATACTTTGCATGTAATTTTTACTAAGTAAATAGGAAGAGCATATATCCATTTTATTTCGACTTTTTGCATTCTTTTAGTGATGATAGTAAACAACAGTCAACAGTTAGTGCCTCGGTTTGGATGTAATTATCAAAAGAAAACAGGCCCATTTTTATGATGTTTTTCATCAAAATAATGAAAAATTGTGTTTGCGCGAATATGCATTCGAATATTTCGAAATTTGTTTTAGAATATGATAAAGCCCTTCAAATTTAATCAACTGGCCTTTTCCTAATGTTACTATGCTGGAAAAAAAACATTTTAGAAAAGTTTTAGTGTTTTGGCCGCGGTGGACCTTTCTGTGGATATGCCCATATGCAATAGTAGGAACTATAAGTAAATAATGAAAAAATTAATACCGTACCTACAAATGCAACTAAATGGGTAAAAATTATGGTTTTGTATTAACGTTTAAGGTTATTGTTAAAAAATCGTTATAAAATAAAAATATAGAAAGAAAAAATCTCACTTCGGCACGTCGTACGTTGTATAAATTTGCAGTTTGTAATTGGATCATTAACAATCGATCCATTTTCGCGAATGAATAAAAACGAACAGGAGACGTATAAAGGATATATATTATATTATTACAAAGTATAAAATAATTTGGTTCTGATCAAATTTAATAAGCATTTTTTTAAAATCGTATAAAATTTATTTATATATTTTTTTAATTATGTAATATCATAAAACAAACTATACAGCAAAGTAATATTAACTTTTTTTCATTAAGCTATTCATATTACAGTTTTACGTTAACAGCTTTACATTTTTCTCTAGATTTATGGAACATTCCTATGATATAGGCGACCGGTTTCATAAAATTGAAACCGAAATTCTGAAATAATAGCAAGTTCTAACATCTCAGAGTAGATAAAAATATGTTGAAAACTAATAAAGTTATAATTTTTTTCTATGAAATAGTGGCCCGATCCGGCACGTTCCTACTTACATATATACTAATGAGTAGTCAGTAGTAAGTGCAGCAGCAAGGGCCCTGATTCCAAAAAAAAATATATAAAATAATAATAATAAAAATAAAAAATAAATAAAACAAAGTGCATATTCCAGTATATTTACATTAAATCTATTTGTTTAATGACTCGAATAATCATTCCACAGTCGTGAGGATCAAAATGGATCACCAGAGCTATGCTCTTGCTTCAGGTGATCGTAGGTAGGGTGGGCATTATGCGAAAACAACAAGATCTGTGTCTCCACAAACATTAATTTTCTCCCTGTCCTTCTGTATTTTGTCTAAAATTCTGGTTTTCTCCTAATTTTGAATTTTGCTTATCAATTCTTCCGGTTCGCTGCACGTTCAATTTCTTGTTTTGTTAGAAATGATTTGCAGTATGTGTCCGAGGCCTGAGGTAACAAGACCACCACCCCATGACGAGTAAGACCCGGAACCTAAAGCGTGCCTCAGCAGCTCAGATCCTCCCAAAACCAGACGAACTTGAACGTTACAAAGTACGAACTCCATGGTCGATCCCTGCCGATCTCCTGCTCTCGCGCGGTCTTATTTTAAGGCTTAAGTTGGTTTGCATGTATGCAGCCAAATAAAGCTGACGCTGAAGTACCCCCAACTTCTTGTTTTCTTCGACCACAACAGTCTTCGCCTGCGCAGTGGGAATTTTATCTACCACAGATTTACCTCATGGGAAGGAAGCGCCCCCCTCAACAATAGGAAAAATAAAGATGGCGAGGAACAATTGATATATGTATGTAATTATAAATGTTAGCGGTTCCGGCCATACAGACTGGTATGGATCGCTACATCCAAATTAAGCGTAAGCTCAGCCCACACAACACAGTTGGTAACAAACCTAAGATCAACCGTGTCACCAAAAGCTACGACCCAACCAACTCCAACAGATTTTCCCCGCTAGCAGCTGAACAGAATAAGCAAGCAGAGCCGGAGCAGGAGACTCAAAAACAGCCAAAGCCCCCACCTAATTATATTATGGAGAAAAGTTCAAACGCCCGGGTCAACAAAATTGTAGCGCTGGTCGGGAAGCTCCATTAGTTCGGATCTTCATCGTGTAAAACCAGTTTATTCACCGGGTCCCGATGGAATACCAGGCTGCGTGTTCAGGTATTGTGCTGGAGCTCTGTGCAATCCCCTTCTGAAATTGTTTACCTTATCTTTTGAAACCTCTGAATTTCCCCTTATTTGGAAGGAATCATTTATCATTCCTCTCCACAAAAAAGGTAGCAAATCGGAGGAATCTCTAAGTTGTCGGCAGTTCGAAAACTTTTCGAGAATGTATTTACTCCCCACTTGCAGATCCGTAATTTCAAAGGCTAGATATCTTAATTTCCGAATTTGATTGGCCTGATCTTTACTTGTGTAAAGATAATAAATATTTTTTACAGTGCCATGAATTCGTTCTTTTTATTGTGTGTTCCGTTCCTATCCATCGGTTTCTTCTAAACCACCTTAGTTCACTAAAGAGCTGACACGCCTAAAAAGCATTAAGTGTAGGCTTTACAATAAGTATAAACGTACCGGTTCTCCCACTGTTTTATCTAGCTATCTTAGTGCTCGGTCGAATTTTACCGTGATTAACGCGCAGTGTTATAAAAATTGTTTAACTCTCTGTAGGGTTCAGTTCACGCAGGACCCAAAACAGTTTTATAACTTTGTCAACACTAAACGTAAACCCAATCTATAGCCTTCCTCGCTTTCATTTACAGCCAACTCTGATCAGGCTATCTCCGATCTCTTTGCTGAGTTTTTCAAAACCACTTATTCTTCCTCAAATAGCTTAGACTAACTCTTTCGATTTTCACAGGTCGAACCTAATCTTCAGTCCTATTTTGAACGAAGGCTCCCTTAGTTCGGATCAGCATGGTTTTATGAGGCGAAGATCGACCACTACAAATCTCCTGGAACTCACCTCTTTCGTTATTAGAGGTTTCCAACGCAATTTTAAAACCGACGTGATTTACACAGACTTAAGTAAAGCTTTTGACTCGGTTAATCACTCTCTTCTTGTAAGGAAGCGTGACTTAATTGGGTTTCCTGTCGATCTTT